CTCCTATAATTAAACAAAACTGTAACACAAATGGGAATAACATGATTTACATGGATCTTAACTCACTTCAGCTGAACTTTTGAAATTTTAAATAAGAGTCCATCGACATTACTTAATACTGTAGAATTCAGGGAACAAAAAAGGAACAACTGCAGAGTTTGCTCCTTATATTCTTATAAAATGCACACCCATTAACACACACACGCACACTTAGGTGTGAAGCCGCACCGAGCTATCCGAGACATCACACTTCATCTTCGGCACCCCTAAATCAAATTGCCGGTGCACAGCTCTGCGTTTGTGGGTGTCTGTGTGGCTGTTCACAAGTGCTGTGTTTAGGCTGCAGCAAGGCTAAAAAAAAGAAAAATGGAACAGAATAGCTTTTTATCGGCTCATACAGGAAGCTATGTCTACTTTTCCTTTGGATGTGCTTCCAGTTTTAGAAAGCTGAGAATAATTGCAAATGGATGTTATGTAAATATTTCACCCACTGCTGTGTGAAGCTGCTTTTTGTGTTGTCAGTCAAGTGCTTAGTTGTGTCAGTATGTCCTTGTCACTGTCGACAACATTGTCATTATCTTCATCACCACAATGCAAATCCTGATATCCACACAATTCGATTAAGTCGTGCTGCACTGCCTTTGTTAAGAGGTGACTGGAGACGCACAGTATAATAAGATAAACGGCACCAAAGTGTGTGTGTCTGCATGTGCGTGTGTTTGTGAAGAACAAATATTAACAAGTATGTCGATGTTTGCCTCCGGAGAAGGATGAGAGCAGCAGATTTACTTGAACGAAACATGACAGGCCTCGCGTGTCAGCTTGCATATGGCTCCATGCGCAGAGACGGTATATTTTTCAGAGCTTCTGTCCTTGGCAGAGCAGCAGGCTGAATATATCGGCCCCTCGTTAGTGTTAGACATGCACTCTGCCTACCTCACAGCATCGACACAGGCGCGTCTTTCCCAGGAATAGCATGTTTTCACTTTCCCTGCCTCTCCTGCTTTCTTCTCTCAGTCTTTCACTTGTCCTGAAAGCTTTTGTGTCATTATTGTTTCCAAGTCCTTGACTTAGTAAACCTGTGAAGGTGATCATTTCAGCCGGGATAGCCGCGACATCGGAGGTTAATACTGATACAGCAGCCTCTGATATGCAGGAAGAATCTGGAGAAAGAAAAGAAATCTATCCTGTTCAGGGGTCACCGCTGAAGGTAGCTCCACATATTTGATGTGACAGATTTTTGCACCAGGTGCCCCCAAAAGGATTCATGTCTCCCTCAGGACCAAACTGGGGATCTTTTGCTTTGTAGATGAACGTGTGACCACAGCACGG